GCTTTTTACTTTCTCGCTCCCCTAGGGTAGAGAGGAAGTATTGTCATCCTCCAAGAAAAAAAAAAAGAAAAAAAAGTTGAAATTTCATCATTTTTAGACGTTTTAAGGTCCCAGGAGTCAAAATAACCATACTTGAAAAAATGTGTGTCCGTCCGTCCGACGTCCCCCAAATCTGTCTACAGCGATATCTCAGAATCTACCTGTTCGATTTCATTCAAAATTCTCACAGAACACCATATTTATGGTCTCCTTATGCACGTCAAATGATTTTGGAGTATGCTAAAATTTGGGGGGGCTAGGGTCAAATTGAGTTAAAGGTCCATTTTCAGCAGGGGGGGGGCTAGTTTTTCCAGTGAATTCTCGTGACACTTCGTGACACGTGGCGGTTTCTTCCCACGAAACTGGGTTCAGTTTTGGCACCCGAAAGACGCGATTTCGGCCCTGGTGCGGCGGGAAACTCGGTGCGGATCGAAAGCTGCGGAGAAAATGAAGAGCTAGTTGGCTCACTGAACCAGATAACCGTTTGATTATTTCACCGGAAACACATGTCTTCCGCCCCTCCCCCGCCTCCCCCGCCCTTTCCGCAGCCTCTTCTCTCCGCCACTCTTGACTTCCCCATCTCCGGCTCCTCTTTATATTAATTACTACTAACTTTCACTTTGTAGTTTTCGAGCTCGGCTCACGAGTCCTGGATCCGCGGTTATGTCCGTTAATCGAGTTTCCACTAGGTAGCAATTTGTTTCCCCTCCCGCTGCGAGCTCCTTCTTGGAAAAATTCTGTTGCTTTATCTTCCTCCTGCGAGAACAATGGCTGGAAGCAGACAACAGCGCGGAATGGGTCACTAAACCAAGAAAGAATTTCGACTTGCGAATACATTTTTCAAAAGGTAAATTACGCGTAGATCACAATGTGCACCTTAAAAGCGCGAAAAAGTACCCCACACGGAGAAAAAAACTTCGCGCGTGGGACCTGATATGGATCTCTGAAGTTATCGGATCACGTATCTAATTACTTGAGGTTCAACTGCCGAAGTTTGGGTCACACTTTTGAAGTACTTCGATATATACCGAAGGGTTCGGGTCACACATCTAAAGTAATCCGATACGTAGCGAAGTGCTTCAGATGTTTGACTCGAACTTCGGCAGCTCGACCTCAAGTTTTTGGATGCGTGATCAGGAAACTCAAGAGATCCTTATGACCTCAACTTCGGGTCCCGTGCACGAAGATTTTTTGTCCGCCGTGCAGGAAACGAGAAATACGCAGTACGAAAGTCGCAACCTATCCGCCAAAATGCCCCTATTTTGTGCCGAACAGAATTATATCACCCGGCACCAATCAGAAGCGAGCAGGGGTTCCTATGGCCTCTGTCAAACGTCTTTCTACAATAGGAAAGTCGAAACTACATGTATATATATTCAGAATCAAAATATCGAACCTCATTCATGTTATTGGTACTAAGCAAGCAACAATTCCACATTGAAGTACGTTTTATTTTAACAAACATCAGTGGAAAACGAGAGGAGATAACGAATGCTGCGGTACATCACTTGCATTATTTTCCCGTCATTCCATCGTGTTTAAAATTCCCTCGATTTTTTGAACTTCTTAAAGGCGGGCTTTATTTCCGGAATTTTGACTCCAATATTAGGCAATAAATCACCACGTTATTTACTCAACTGGTATTTTCAGATTATTAGAGTAAAATTACAAGTATTAGTAACCCCTTGATATGATGTAAAATTGTCTTATTGAACGATGCGATGGTTTGTTCATCTCACACTACAATTTGTCAAGTTTTTAGACTCCTTTTCATTTGAACGATAATGTTCAGCGCACACTTTACGCTTTAAAAAATTACAACTGAGAAAAGTTTCCAAACAGCCTTTGAAGCACCACTACAAATAAGACAAAGGGAAACTAACACAATATGGGAATAGAGCACAGGAAAGGACGTGCGTTGATGACGGCGCAGAGATACAACTATTCGTGCTTGATGGATGTCCGTGTTGCTTCTGCAAAATTGAAGGCGCGATGGCGCGATGCGTGAACTCCCACGGAATGTTCCTTGCTTTTGTCTTGTGTCTAACGTAAGACATCATTTCTCCATCACCACGCTTTTAAATCTCCAGATATCGCAAAGCAGTGAATCGAGTCAATTAGAGAGGTCGGATATGAAATTTTTGACTACAACTGCAAATTTTGGTGTTTATTTCGTTACATTTTACATTTCAAGGGGTGCTTCCAGGAGAAAACTTCACGAGAAATTCAATGAAACCACTTTTGGAACCTCAAAGTTTAGTACAGACGGAGTTATGAGCGTTTGAAGTTTCCAAATTTTGTCCAACCTCTCTTATTGACTCGATCCACTGTGCATCGGTGCAAAGGTATCTTTTTGACGGATCCACAAGTATACGAACTCGCTATTTCCGCGTGAATTACCCGGAATGAAGGTGCCCTCATTATTTTGTGCACCGCAGAATAGCAAAATGCTCTTCTTTCATAAATTATTCGACACGATGAGTTTTGCGGGCGTTCTCATCAATCGACAACCCTGCGCTGCGTTGTTGAGGTCGCGTTTCAAATTGATTGAAATGTGACGCCACTTTTAATGATTCAATTTATGCGGATTTCAAAACCGCGGGGTAGAATTCCGACTCGTAGGTAAGCGCGCATTTGTTTGATAATTCGTCCACATAACGACGTAAAAATTGTTCGGTAAGGGCCTTGTTCTCTGTGTTATTGTATGATTTCTAAGGCTCACAAGAAAATAAATATTGCCCTTACGACAACGGATCGACGAATTTCACTCTCCGCAACAGGCTTATCCGACACTGAGCAAACCTCGGCTACGCACTCAGTGTCAATTCACTTTGAGCTCGGAATAAATGAACTGCATCACGCATAAACGGGCAATTTTTTTTCATGCTCGTTTATACAAAGGCAATATATTTTAGAGATTTCGCACTGCCATCCTTTATATGTTGTAAAACTTACCTTTTCGAAAGTCAACGTTTAGACTTTCCTAATGATGACAGATGACCAAAAAGTTCGGCCAATAATTTAGCAATCCTAACATAATTTGCAAAAACTCGCTTTTTAATGTGCACACCCCAACTTTTATGTGTCATCGCTACACGGATTCTATTGGATTTTGGATTGCACAAGTAGTCGTTCATCAATCGTTTGGGGAGAAGTAGCGTTGACCTTGGAATCTGACTTCATCCTCACCCCTCTAAAATATAAATGACCGGATTTGTGAGAAGGGACCATGTCTTCTCCTTAGCATTTTGAATTACGTTTTTCTACAAACCTAAGAATTTTCGTCTTGGAACTGCAGAACTAATGTCTCCTTCTTCAATTTTCAAGATTAAAGGATCAAATCTGCGCCAAAATTTCCAGATTTTCTTCCTCTATGCGCTTGCTAAAAGATCAGTGGCCAAATTTCGTCGGTTCTCTCAAATGGAGTGCAACACTGTGAAACATCCATCGATGGGTCCGCACTGCACCACCGACCAATCAAAAGCGCCATAAGCCGGATTTTAGGGCAGTCGAGACTAGTGCTAAGTATATCGATGTGTCCGTCCCTGGGCGGTTGAATCAATTGAACTTCACAGTCAATTGTATAGGAATTTATTTTGGGCGATGCTCAGAAATTTTTGGGGCTAATCATAGATTTATACCTATCATAGTTGAAGTTATTCTAAGCAAAGGGTTTTCAGTTGTGCGTTGGAAGGACCAACAAAATTCGGCACCACGAAAATTTCCCCTCGGGATATAAGATCTCTTTTATCGGATCAGGTCTCCATTAGAGTGCCTTCATAGGGAGAGTACGGACAACTCGATTGAAGTAGCTCTCAGGGCTCAAAAAGCGACGACGTGAAAAACGAAAATCACCAGAAAAGTGCCGCTGCCAACTCATGCATTTGGAAGATTATTCAATATGGCCGACTGCGCATTGCAAACAAGCGTCTTAAAGGATTAAAACTTTGAAACTAAGACAATGTATGCGAAATCAAAGTTTTATACGTGCTTTTATAATTTTTCATCAGTGTAAATAGTTGAAATACAAAACTTCTACTGGATAGTTCGAGTTCATAGGTTGGCTTTCCTTTCGGGCCCCATAGCTACATGACCTGATCAAACCTAACCTCTAAATTTTTATTTTTTTTTATTTTTTTTATTGAGAGTTTAGTGGCTTCTATTCCTTTAGGAATCTACAGCCATCTATAGGCACTATTTATTGTCCGAAGACATCAGGGAATTTGGTAGACATCCATGCTCGGGCTTACAAATTTTCACGGATTAAGGCCGAGCGAATTCTGCTTACAGATCCACTCGTCAGTTCCATGAAAATTTGTCGCCACCACCGGGATTCGAACCCGGGACCTATTGACCTAGAGTCAGACGCGCTAACCACTAGGCCAACCTGGCCGGCAACCTCTAAATTTTCGAGTTGTCCATACTCGCCCTATACAAGTACTCCAGTCTCCATCTTGTTTCTGAGTGTAGAGTTTTCCCAGAGACAAGAGACCCTCCACTGGCCTCCTAGCGACAGGTGGAAGCTTTTACTTTCGGGGTTTCAACAATTCCTTATGGACAATTATGAGCGAGCAACAGTCATCACCCTATTTTCGGCTTTTGACTTACCTACATGGTCGATGATGAGCTTCGGATGACGTCATAAGCCAAACAACTTTTCCAAACGTCGGCCATTTTCGGCTTGTTTGCAAAACGAAACTGCCAACACGTTGTTGAACATCAACCATGTAGGTAAGTCAACAGTGGAATGCTGAAGTCCCGAAAGTAAAAGCTTCCACCATGGCCAAGTTACTAGTGGAGGGTCTCTTGTCTCTGAGTTTTCCTCAATGTTTTAGCTTTGTGTATCGTTATTCTCTCTGAAGTTTTTACTCTCTCGTTTTTTTTCAATCTTGTTTCTTGTTCACTTAATCGCCCTTAATTTATTTCTAATTTTTAATTTGTAATTAATTTTCTGTTGGCAGAGTACATCGTGAGCTACTCGGCGCCGCAAGGTTCGAACGGGTTGGTTGACCGGAGCTACGACGGGTTCATCGACCGGGGGATCATGCGGGGCGGTCTGGGGCAGCTGACGGACGGGCTCTACGGGACCCCGCAGTTCCTCCACGACTCGCGCGACGAGGAATCGGGGAGTCGCTGGGTCGGCTGGCTCAAGTCCGCGGATTCGGCCGCCCCCCTCGAACTCATGTTCCAGTTCGAGACCGTCCGAGAATTCATCTCAATGAAGGTTCACGTGGGCCACGTTATGGACGGCGATGTACAGGTAATTACCATCTCCATCCTATTTCGATTCATCACGTTTATGCACTGGAAAAAAAAAAAAAAAAAAAAAAAAAAAAAAAAAAAAACCATAGGATCTAGAGTCCAGACTCTTCCAAAAATTGACAAGAAAATGGACTCTTGATTCAATCAGATTTAAGCTTAAATCAAAAGGATTTCCGCTCAAATTAAGAGGCTTGGTTCTTGATTTAAGCTTAAATCTGATTGAATCTAGAGTCCGTTTTCTTGTCAATGTTTTCAAGAGTCTGGACTCTAGATCAAATGTGTTTTTTTTTCCAGTGCGTTTATGCCCAAATCGTTCGTTTCGTATGCATCCCATCCTGGAATTCAGATTAGTTTATCGCTCTGAGTATTTTTTTAGTGCCAAGTAGGTGCGGGATACAGAGTGGGTGGCAGCTGAGAAAATGGAAATCGCTGGGAAAATTTTTGACGAGGAGGAAACTCTGAGTAAACTTGAGTGATTTCACGAAAAATTTCCTGATCAGCGATTTTCCCCCGGAAGTATCAAATTCTTCTTTTTTGCAGTAAAATATTGGAATTTGGTGGAAAATTTCGATATGTTAATGGACCACTAGACAGAGAGCAAAAATAAGCACTAAAATATAGGTTTTTCCATTGAAGTTTTACTTAAAATACAATGGATGCATTCACATTTTCAAATCATGCGCATGCGTAAATGAAGAAATGAATACCAGACCACGTATCTCGTTTGCGGTGTTTAAAAATCTCCGCTCCCATTTTATTTTTTTGAAGGAGAACAAATCAATATCATTCCTTGACGTTTCCACAGAGTTTTCTTCGCTTGGAGAGGAAAAATCGCGGAAATTTTCAAGAATTGATGTTGAGTAGTTTTTCATTTGAAAAAAAAGTATTTCAGGAAGTCCGCAACGTCGCAAGCTGAGATACGCAGTTTGGTAGTTTCACCGTCGAGATCTACTAGACGTCCAATTCTTGCTCTGCCACTGGAAAAAAAGTCGCTTGGATTTAGAGTCCAGACTCTTAAAAACATTGACAAGAAAAAGTACTCTTGTTTCAATCGGACATTTTGCTTGAATCAGAAGGAAATCCGCCGAAATCAAGAGGCTCAGCTCTTCGATATAAGGGAAAATTGGATTGAATCAAGAGTATTTTTTCTTGTCAATGTTATGAAGGGTCTGGACTGTAGATCCAAGCGACTTTTTTTTCCAGTGATGTCTTGTGGTCTATTAGACAAGCTGTGATTCTGAAAATCTTTCTTTTCAAAAGTCACTAACCGTTGAGAATTTAGTCGGATTAAAGCCATCACCTTAAGATCCAGAAAAGCCTTCAAGAATACTCAGAGTAATCCACGGTTAAAGAGGTTTATCTGATGAGCGTATTCAAAGGTTAACGGTTTTTGACTTCCGGCTCCTGGAGGCTAAAAATCGTATTCATGCTGAAATTAAGCTCACGTCGCGAGCACGACGCAAAAAGGCCGGATGAAACCCCGATACGGAGCTCGGAGAACTGCCTTGCTAAGGAAAAACGCCGTATGAACCTTCAGGCGTTGCCAAATATCCTTTGATAAAACACGAATTTCCTGGTAAATTCATGAATATTTTCCTTTGGATTTTTCAGATAATTTTGTACGCAATGTCACCTAAAGTTCCCGAAAATATCGAGGGAAAATATTCATAACTTTCCTAAATACTAAACATTTTATCGAAGGAAATATGGCAACTCTCAAATGTTCATACGGCGTTCTTCCTCAGCGCGGCGGAGAAGCTTTCGAGCTTAATAAAGTTCTCGACGACCGAGACGCAGGTTTCCTTTGATGTCGGCATTATTGATATGATTTTTTCGGATGGATGGAAGCTCGGCGCGCGGAGCGGGGAATTAAACGAGCTTGAACTATTCGCGAAGTTTCGCCGGCGAACAAGACGGGGAGACGGTGTGCCCGGCCCGGGACGTACCTTTTCGGAAATCAAAGAACCGTGAACGGTTCGCGGAAAAACGTCGACGAAACTTTCCGGCCATGAATAGCGGCGGCGGCGGGCAAGTAGCTGGGCCAAATACCGTGAATTTATTCATTGCTTCCTCGAGAAGTTTGGTTGTTTTGTTCCGTGCCAGCTCTTATTCTCGGCTGGACGATTAGCTACATTTGTTGCGGCGTTGTCGGGTGTGAAACCTCTTGAAGGTTATATTGACCTTTCCGGACCCCTCTCTCTGCAAAAAATCGTAAAAAATAGGATGATGTAGTTACATACTATGAAAATCGTGATTGGTTTGGAGTAACGTCAGAGGCGGATCTAGCAATTTGGAAACTTCGAATTTCGTCCATTTAAACCTATGCTAAATAATCGATTCGGCCGGCCAGGTTGGCCTAGTGGTCAGCGCGTCTGACTCTAGGTCAATAGGTCCCGGGTTCGAATCCCGGTGGTGGCGTCTAATTTTCAAGGAATTGACGAGTAGATCTGCTGAAACAGATTCTCCTCGGCCCTAATCCCTGAAAATTAGAAAAGCCTGGAGCATGGAGCCTGATGTCTACGGACACTAAACATNAAAAAAAAAAAAAAAAAAAAAAAAATAATCGATTCTTGTCGGAGCACCTGGCCCCTCCAAGAATCGGTACATTTACATGGGTTTAAATGTAAGGAATACGGCGTTGCCAAATTTCTTGATCCGCCAATGAATAACGTCCAATGAATAACGAATAATGAATAGCGGCAGACAACAACATCATTATGTCTCATGTCTAAATTCTTGTAAGCCATGTGCCGAGCAAGCGGAAAGCAAATTAAAAGTAGTTGTATGACCTATACGTCAGCTTAGTCACTGTCATTGGATCTGAAGTACCTCTAAATATCTAGCTGGATCTTCACATAAAATTATGTGACAACAATGAAATTTCACACCTGCTGGGGGTCTTGATTTACCATCTAAACTTTTGTGAAACTCTGCTGACGATAGATTTTTCCACGGATGTTGTCTAAAAGAAGCCCCTAAACGTAAGTAAAAGTATTTAAGATGTAGATGAGGCTTCAGCGGAGAAGCGGTTAATGAGGAAATCCATCCCTTTATTCAGTCAATAGCAATTGAAATATCCACACAGAGTGGAAACTGTGCAATGTGAATGTTAACAATACATAATTGCTCATTTATCAAATTACGACCTTAAAATTAAGAACTTGTTTGAGCCTAAAAGATGATTTCTGACAAAATAAGTGACACCATCGCATTTTCAGAGAAATTTCACCCAAATGTAAGAGTCAAATCGAAAAGCCCCGACTAAGGATCAGATTTTTCCTGGAAAGTCAAGGTCCGGGAATGGTTATGAGAAATTGACGGGGAGGTTCCCAAGAATTCTCCCGGTGGCTCCTCAAAGTGTGAGAGATTAACGCGTATATTATTCAGTGCGTTTCTCCGTCAAAGTTTCCCGGAAAAGTAGTTTTCATCCGCGGATTCCCGAGCTTCGACCAATGGCGATTCTTGAATGTTGATAACACTGTTTTCCTCCATTTAAATGTATGTAAAACAATCGATTCTTGGCGAGGCAGCTTGTCTCACCTACAATCGATATGGAGGAATTTACTTTAATGGAGGAAATACAGTGTTGCCAAGTTGCAACATAGCTATTGACTTCGACACATCGTCACCTTCCGGCCAAAGTATCACAAGCGCCATGCGACGTTTCAATATTTCCGCCGCGATTTTATTTTTTTACAGAGAAATTGTTGGTTGAATCTATTTGAAAATTTTACTGAATTTTATCGGCAGTGCAAAGAAAATTCAGTTAAATTTTCGGACAGCTCCGTTGAAAAAATTCGCTGTAAAAAAATAAAATGACGGTGGAAAACGTCGCATGGCGCTTGTGATACTTTGACCGGAAGGTGACGACATGTTAGAATTCCATTCCTTTTAAGCGGATCACGGCAGGTTTTCTGACTAAACTGTTTCTCGTGCATGAAAATGAAACAATTGCCGCGGTGATGATTTTCCACAGCGAGGCCTACACAAATCCTCGCCATCCGAGGGACACGATCCCGACGAGGGGCTTTTTTTCTCGCCACACCTCAAAGCGTCGATAAATAAATAAGATTCAATAACCGCGCAGTCATGATCGCCTCCGCGGGCGCTTGCCGCGGCTTATTAAGAGGAATGAAGATTATATTTGCGGCCGAGGGGAGGGGGGTTGGAGGGGGTGGAAATGAGAACCAAGTCCCGCCACGTTGCCGAATCGCCCCGATTTTTAGAGCGATTCCGGGTGAAATTTTCAAATATGGTGAGAATAAAAGTACCTTAGTATAGGTTTCTCATCAGAATTCCATAAAGAACACGTTGAAAACATTCAGGAAGATCAACATCAACTGAAGAGTGAATTTGCAATCTATTCGTTGCTCCTCTGATGACAGCCGTGCTCTCCGTATAACGCTACACCTGCCTAGGCTCATGTTGAAATAGAGATACGCCCTTACGTTAGAAAAGCGACGTATTGTGTGAAAGTAAGTTGACTGCGTGAACTAATTTTCATCTCTGCAAGTGCTATGAAAAATTGCAGTCTTAGCAGGATTGCTGGCCTCATACGCCCCCCCCAAAAAAAAAAAAAAAAAATTCTCAATGGACCACTAGACAAGGTACGAATTTCAGCATTCTGATACATGTTTCTTCACCAAAATTTCACGTAAAACACGATGCACACAACGAATATTACCGAAATCAACTCCTTCCAAAGATATTAATGATTCATGGTGCGTGGATTCAAACCACCCGCTCATGAAAACTCAATACTCTACGTGATTCACATCACGCACTAAACATTATCATGACAGTCTTTGCGATGTAAAAATCTGGCAACCTCAATCTTGACGCTTCGGCTCAGCTATAGCAAATTGCTTATAGTTTGAACAACACATGGTGGGAAATGAACAATGCTCGATTGAGAAGCTTGCTGAAACCGTTGTAGTGTGCGATTTGACTCACGTAGAGTTTTGAGTTTCTTGTGAGCGGGCAGTTCAAATTCCTCGTGACCAATGTGAAATAAAAATGTTAATCTCCGTTAGGAGTTGGTTTCTGTAATTTTTGTTGTGCGAATCGTGTTCTATGTGAAATTCTGGTTAAGAAGAAACATGTATCAGATTTGCTTAAATTCGCACCGTGTTTAGTGTTCCATTGTTGATAGTCCATTGTGCTTCGAGTAAAACTTGATAAGTAAACAGGGATTATTGTGCTGATAATTTCTTACCCCGGCTCGCGGTCCATCGGCAACACTGCCAGCGGATTCAGATTCAGATTCGGGGCGGATTAAAACCCAAACCCAATCTGCACCTCATACCTCCATCCATCATCGCGCCCACCCCCCACCCCTCATCCTCGCCCTCGGTGCTCAGGAAAGGAGAACTCAGCGGGCCATGATTGATGCCTCGCGTATTATTTGAGAAATATTTTAATATATACACAATTACTCCCCTCCTTGCAGTTCTCTATGTAAATCGCCGTGTCGCTCGCGCCGCCTCTCTTCATTTCCGTTTGCTTCCCCTTGTTTATCCTCCTTTTTTCCCCCAGTGCGGGTTTTTTTTATATAATTCTTATTTTGGTGTGCTGCAACGATCCAATCGATGAAAAAAAAACCAGATCATTGGTCAGTTGCATGTTCAATATAGCCAGTCAGTGTTCGAAACTCAAATTTAAGTTTTAGGAGTCATGTGGCGCAACAAGCCCGATTTTTAGGCGCCATTGGAGATTTTATAGGGGCCAAATTGACTTTTTGCCTATATATTACGCCGCATTTAGTGAAAAGTTAGACGCAAGATGTTTTCGTAACAGAACTAGTAAGTAGCTGTAACTTTGGGTAGACAATAGCACTCAGGATGAAATCGTGAAGAATAGGAAAAGCTTTCACTTGTAGTGCTGAAAATTTCGAATTCCTAATATGAAAATTCAGATTTTTAGGGGTAATTTTTAGGGGCCACGTTGGCGCAGAGCCTTCAATTTTTATGCGCCATGGCCGATTTTGTAGGCGCATTTGGCGCGTTGGCGCCTGTGAGTTTCGAACACTGGCCATAGTTCCAAGTGTCTTAGAAGCCCTATCATCTTTCTTACTTTATTGCAAAAGCTGAGCAGATTTTCGTGTTTCAGTCGCAACCTAGATTTTAATCGGCCGATGAATTAGCCAACCTGAAAACGTCAACAGGAAGCCATGATGATGTCATCAACAGGATTTTCCGATGACGTCATCATGGCTCCCTGCTGACTTCACAAGGGACGTTTCGATGAGAAAATCAACGGACGTTCTTGATGCCGTCATCGACAGGCATTTCCGATTACGTTATTATATTTGAGGACAATTAAAAAGATACATTTAGGTCATTTTGGATTCGGAACATGAAAAGACTTGACCTCAGTCAAGTCTGAAGGGGAGTTGGTACCTATGATTATGGTCGAAACCATACTAGACTGGTCATCTTACATTTAAAAATGATCGCAAGACCGTTTCAAATACCGGAAACAAGGATGCATTTGAAAACACAATATTTGATGTCCATCGGACTCGAGTCGCGGCATTACTACCTTCTCTAAATCTATTTCAATACCTCGACCATCCTGAGTAAAAATGAAAGCTCAAAGTGAGTGCTTTCAATCAAGCGAATGATTTATTTGCAGATCTGTTATTTTTCTCTCCTCGCCGTGTTTTGTTGACCGTGAAAAAATGTCAATGCTAACGGCGGAAATGCAAATTTCCGGTTATCCGTCGTACTTTCCGTTTTTTTCATCCTCGGCTGTTATTCCATCGCCGAGGTGAGATGAATAAAACAAGAAGGGCCGACTGCGAAAACATTGCATAGTTTATGCTGAAAGTGTAAATAAAACTGAAATATTATATTTTGATGCCGTCTCGCGAGAAATAATTTACCTAAGTATCCCGGCGAAATACAATATTTTTCTCGAGTTAAAAGCTTTTTCCCCCTCGAGTCAGAGGTCCCCGCGCTGCAAATATCATTTTCCAAGTCTCTGTCCTTATTTTTGTTTCTCTCTCCTCGCACTCGGCACTAAATTGTTAATGAAGTCATGATAAACATGCTTGATTTTTCCCGCTTTTCCCTCGCTTTTCCAGTTTGATCTCTTACCTCTAGGCATAATATGATTCTCTTTTTCAATGAACATCAAGTTTTAAAGGGTCCGCGAGTATTTTGAGCGCGTATAACTTGCAATGCCATCAGCTAGGGAGAAAGAACGATTTAAGCTCCCCAGCAGATACAAGGAGGCCGTTCATATTATACGTAACCCTCCACGGGGGAACCCAGGGGTCTGTGGTTGCGTTACGGGTGCGTTATAGGGGGAATGGGCTTTCAGGATTGAGAAACATAATATTGGAATAACCGCGTAACGCTATTTTTAAAATTTTAGGTGAAAAATCACCAAATTTTCATCAAGAATTTATCAAAAAACGCTGGATTAATTCAAGGGGAGAAAGGTCAAATGGGCGCTGCGTTATTGTTTCGAGGAATACAGATCTGTGTGAATGGCACATTACGAAGGAAAGTAGATAAAAATCCGATTTTCAGCGTTACGTATTTTATGCATTATGATCATTAAACTATCTTTGATGGTCAACAATTTGCACTTTACTTCATGAAACGAAAAATGAATGTGGGAGTAGGAACGATCATGTTCAAAAAACAATACTGAATTTACAATGCTGACAATAATATATCGGAGATTTTCGTGACGATGTACGTGTTTTTTTTTTTAATCGAGAGTATTTCGGCAACCTCTACATATATTACTGGAGAAAAATGAAGAATTATAGGCTAAACCTACGTGGATATTCTTAAAGCGGAAAAACAATATGTATGAACAGTGTGTATCTGAAAGGTCTTAAAGAATAAATTGATTTTGTGAAAAGCCATCCGATTCAGACCAGTTCATGTTTTTTAATGATCGTGCTCGAAATCATTAAAAAAGCATTAGGTTTTTTTACTCGTTGTTTTTTCATGTTCGCACGCTCCCGTGAATATCCCTGCAGCGAGCAGGTGGGAAAGGTCGTTGCCTTTGATTTTGAAGAGCGTTTTACGGATTTACAGCATAATTTTCTCTAATTACATGATAGCGCCTTCTTAAAAATTTGCAAAGTCCTCTTATTTTTATTTTTGACACTCACTTTCCATTTTTTCCTCGCCCAATCATTTAAATCGATTATGCATCCATAAGTACTTCTCGAAGTGTGTGAAGATGAGCATCATTGGATATTCTCGAAAAAGGGTAGCTGGAGGATGAAGCTAGTCCAGGAAAACAAGAAATGAAATCTTTTTCCTTCAAAGTCGTGAGCCTTTTTTCATGTATTTCTGCCCCTCCCCTCTCCCACGTGCCCTTACAGTCCCGCATTTCCTGAGTGATATTACTATGCGATACGCTTATTTGTTTATTTTCTCGTCTTTTTGAAGTTGGATGTAGCGAACCGCTAAGTCCCTACTCTTTCTTTTTTTCAGATTTTTTCAAAAGCTCAAATCCACTTGAGTCTGGAGGGCGATTTGTACCAGGCCAAGCCGGTGGTATTTTCACCCTTTCTGGACCCGCACACAACAGACAACGCAATAAACATATCGATCCCTCTCTACAATCGCGTCGGCAAATACGTCAAAGTCGAGTTCTTCTTCTCCCTCCATTGGATATTGATCAGCGAAATTTCGTTCGAGTCAGGTAAATATTGACTTTTCCATTCTCTCGTCTTGTATTTCTTTCAACTCGCCTGCATGAGAGTTTTTTAAACCACTGGAAAAAATAAGCTGAGGTCAAGGTAGATCTTGTGGATGAGACTTATACTGCCGTACTAAGGGAGAGCGCCGTATGAGCGTTCAGACGTTGCAAAATTCTTTTGATAATCACAAATTTTCGGGAATATTCCGTGGCGAGGCGTGAATGTTCGATTATTATCGATTATTCCCTATTTGAAGAGATGGGAAAGAATCGATCATGCAGGTGTTCATTTCGAACACCCCGTCTATCGATAATTTTCCATAGGTTTAAAATCAGATATATCCATTACAAAACGCGCCACGCCACTGGGAACATTAGTGAATATTTTATTTTTCAATTTTTTAGAGAATTTCGTTCGCAATTTGATCTGAAGTGTCTGAAAATTTAAAGAAAAAATAATCACGACTCTCCTCAAAAACAAATATTTTCAGATGGGAAATTTGGCAACATTCGATCTTTCATACATGGCGTTCCTCCTTAGCACAACACTGTGGATGGAGATTGTCAAGGAAACAAAGAAAAATCTCTATTTTTGCAATCAATCCGACTATATCTGCGCCTCCAAAGCGATCTTATACTCCTGATGGTGTCAGCGGTATCGATACAAATGAAATTCCATATGCATAATTTTGTAACGACCAGGCATTAATCTAACAACGAAACAAATAGAAGGCCGATGAATATTAATCAACCCATCGGAGAAAAAAAAATAAAACTATCATAACTAAAACAAAGATGCAAATGAATTGCAACCAACCCCCAACCCCTCGAGGTTTGACAAAAAAAATCGCAAGGGTTGCCTAGGTCTCCAGGCGCGTTCCCAGACCTAATGAATCAAAAACGTCTTGTTTGGAGTGGATGGCACGACTCCACCAGGGAATAGAAAGAAAACGGGGGACGACAACGAGTCATATCCAAAAAGAATCATGTCCAATTAAAAGATGAGCCCCGAAAGGCTATTATTTCAACCCAAGCCAGGGCTCATCCGGAAATCGGGGTTGTCCCCTTTTCGAGAGGACGCTCCGGAATAAAAGGGATATTAATTGGGAGCGGGGCCGCTTGGGACCGGGACAACATGCAAACTACCCGATTAACGCCGGCGCTCGAACGGCCCGAGCGTGTGTGAGTGCGTGGGTGTGAGGATATGAGGGTGTGTGCGTCGGGGCCGGGATGAGCTACAAATATTTGATAGCGCCGGACGCATCCTTATTAATAGTTCGGTTTCCTGTTTGCATATTTATGAGTTTTCTAATTTCGGGGGGCGCCCGCCCGCCCCGGCCGTGTCCCGTGCAGTTTTTAATCACCGGGCCCGCCATCGCAGCCGCGTTTCGCAATCGAAGCTGGATCGGCGAATATCGGACGCGGTGGTGCCGTTTGTAGGGGAGGGTGTATGGCGAAAACCCCCCACGATGCTACGGACCACTATAGATAAGCTACGAATTTAAGAATTCTGACAGGGTGGCAAAATTTCATGAAAAATGAACTCTTGAAATTTCACGTGGAATAGTCCATGAAATTTCAGAAATTTGTGAAAGATGTTGAAAAGTACCGGTTCCTTTTCATGTTTCACCAAATGTAAAAATTGTGACTTTCTTCTATTTTTGTGTTTTTGAGTGCAGGTTGTATACTCTAGCCCCTGAAAAATATGAAATATTTCACAGCTTCGTGAAATTTCCAATCTTTCATGTCTTTTTTACGTTTCATGCCGCCCTGAATTCTGATGTCTGTTTCCTCTTTAAAATTTCACGTAAAACACTATTCGTGCAATGATAACTACTTCAACAGCACTATTTTCAAAAGAATTCTGTGAAAAAATTGTCCCAAGGTACACAAGTTTTTCTGTTATGATACATTGTTTCCAAAAAATGTAAAATGGCGTTTACCGCATTTTTGCGTTGCACGGCAGAATTACGTGGTCTCCTTTTTCGGCCATGAATATCAGGGAACAATGCAGGTTCAAATTCTCTCAGTATCATTCTCAACTAACAATACCATGTGGAATTGTGAAGAGATAAGGAGATGAAAATGCTTTGATTTAGACTATTAAAACCTCAGCAAAATTCTATTTGCGCACCTCTGGAGCATGATTCTAGGATCTGTAAGGCCCCTGAGACGGAAAGTCTTACGACTCTTCCAAGAATCTCCATGCACGAGCCACAATTCGTAAATATTTGCGCGCACGAACGGATACGAGTCGTTAGATCGCAATACTTACCAAAGCAACCGTAAAAACTATTTCCAGATATGCCAGATTTAACTGCTAACAGAGGGCGTGTAAAGAACGTATCAAAACTTGCGAATGCAGGCGTTGCATGTCGGGAAGCTAAACATGCAGCATGAAGGGCTACAAGATCGGACTCTGCAACTTGTCTCCAACTTTAAACGATAAAATCGATGTGTTGTGTCACCAGCGAGCCCGTTAGCTTATGAATCTACAAGTTCTTTTGACAGGTTTCTTGCATCTCTGAGTTTTATCAAAGCTCATTAGAAACGTTTGGTCCATCTCTCACAGAGCCTCATCCATGAATTCTTTCAAAATGGTCGAAATGTGCTCGTAGTTTTATGTGCATGCTGCATTGGTATCTCGAATACTTTTAAAGTAGAAAAATATGTCATCAAGACCAATAGTTAGCGTTTCAGGCATAAGGTGCTTAAAATATTACATCAGTTTTTGTGCTAAGTTAAGTTTCGACAACATTGATGCGTGCTCAAAGCCTCACGTTCCGATATCACTACGACGCGACGTTGAGAGGAGAGAAACTTGTGCAAAAGGGAAAAAAGGGAATAGAAAAGAAGAACCTATATTCAAATCTGCAATAAATTGCACGATATTCCTCTACAGGATTGCCAAATTGCGAGGACTCCATCACTGTGACAGCCGTATATTACACGAGCCGAAAATCATGTTTCAACAGTTGGTCATTGTATGTTAGTAAGAAATAGTTGAGTTTTTCTCAGCATATAATTGATGATCCGAAAGTAAATAATGAAATTTTAAAGCTCTTTGAGCAAATGAATTTAAAAATACAAGCTAAATTCCTGGTCTTCGACGTAAATAACCCAGTTGCTGATCGTCAATATAAATTAACCAACTAACTAACTAACTAACTGGGATTAAATCATTAGAAGCTCCTGAGCTTTTCCTTCTGCATTGGAAAACTATGAATGTACGAATAAAAACCGGAGAAATCCCCTCAAAACGGACAACATTGTTGACATGCGAGTCTGTCAGGAGGGTAAACAGATGTTCCTCGTTCGAGCGTCTGGAATTCCGAGTCTCCCAGAGCTCCCAGGGCTATTACGAGGCAGTTGGTGACGTATTTTATCAGCTTTTCTCAGGGACGTTCTTTTATTAGAGGTATATCGAGCTCCTTTCTACCTCGCTGAGTGCATCGTTATGTACCGGTATGTATGCATCTTTACGATTGGAAACGGCGCGGGGAGGGGAAAGATGAAAGGCATCTGATGACAAGCATATTTCTGACTTCGAGTAAAACCTGTAACATGCGAGGAGAGTACATTCACCTCGCCGATTTCCAAGTATCGTGTTTATCCGATCGAGACCGGTTGAAAGGTAAGGTAGAAGCGGTGGAAACATATTTAGTCCTGGGAAGCTGTTATGGGTAAGATTTTATTCTTATCTGTAATTTAAATTTCTCCTTTTGGAGATTTGTGGAACGTCATCAAGGGACTTTTTTGTTAAAAAGATCAGTTTTTGGTATGATGCCCTACTTTTTTTTGAGTGGCAACTCTTGCCTTATGACAAATTTGTTGAAAATCACTGAAAGAAAGAGAAACTTTAGCGCTACTTGCTAACTGATCGTTATTACCATCTTGATTTGAATTAAGAACAATGTACGAAGATTTTTCATACCCACTACTAAATAGATAGAAAAATCGCTCATCCCTTCCATTTATCTCTGTGAATATAGTTTAAGTTAAATCACAACACTTTTTAAGTATTTTAAATCCTCGAAAAACACAATTCTAAAAATAGTCAATATTTTCATAGAAAAAACACAAAAGAAATGATGATCGTTAACCGTCTATATACTTCCTAATTATATTCCCGTGATGTTACCATGGTAATTATATAAAGACATGAATCAGTCAGAGAAAGGATATAGTCGACACGCGACGTGACACATGGCGGCTTGAATTACTAACTTTTGAATGCAACAATTCGTGTTCTCTTGATATCCTTATTGCATACCCAAAAAAGAGAAGGCGCACTGACTTTCCTCGCGTCTTACGATCAGCATTAGGCATTACTCTTGTGATTTTACGTTATAGCGTAAGCTTTTTTTTTCATGTTTACACTTTTGTATTTAATTTGGCACAATTGGACTACATTTTGGAATTAGGAGCTACGAATTCTGGCTCAGTTTAAAAACAACGGATGTACCATTGATTCCCCTATGCTCTTAAGTTTTTTTAAGGGTGGGCCGGAAATTGTAGTTCCTCATCGCAAAAAGCCTAATTCACACTCGATCATGGGATCATATCATATCCGAAAATCTTAATCAAATCCCAAAGTTACATTTCCAGATAGAACAGATACTTTAGCGCGGCACTTTTATGTCGCCAACAAAGACATAAAGACGGAGTGCTCGTATCTAAAAGCACGGGGAAAAAGTGAAGCTAGGTTCGGCGCTGCGCGTTTGTGTGAGTGTGTAAATGAGCGCGGGAATCCATGGCGGCAAACGGAAATTTGATTTGAACTTGTCCTCTTGATTTTTCCTTATTTCTTCTTCGAAACGTGTTTTAAATGCTTAAAACGATTATATTAAGAAAGTTCGGTCTGCGTCCTAATATATTACACCTATTTTTGCTCGGTAACAGGCAGTAATCTCAGATAAAGTTAGTTTTTCTTCTGCTTATGGTGGTTCTGCAGGTTCAAACAGGCCGTTACAGTTCTAGATCTACGTTACTCCCAAATGAAATCAGTCGGTCGACGACGGACCGAAACTAACCTAAAGTTAATAAAATATGAGTGTGTACCTGAATTTGGGCAAAAATCAACCTAAAATACTTTGTTTCCGCAATTTTATTTATTAGTTCCCGCCCTACATTTGAATTCAAACTTGTCCCGATTTCGCCGCCAATCCTCTAGCCAATAGTAGAGGTGATTGAAAAGAAGCTCTAGAAGCTTCATTTTTTGCTTTTAGTGCTCCGTCTTTATGTCTTTGGTCGCCAACATGCAAAACCTCTGGCGCGAGGTTAGGGGCTGATGAGTCATCGGGATCAACGCGAAACCCAACGTCGCGTCGCGTCGGTGCGAAGCCGCAGCTTCGGACGTTTTACGGAGCGGAAAGCGACGTGCTTGGCGTCGAGTCGGGGGTGGGAGGGGGGTTATGGGAAGAGGTTTGAAGCCACAGGTGCGCATTAAAGTCACATTGAGCGGCGGCGCTGCTGCGCTGCGGAGACAAAAAAAGGGAAAGAAGTGATTCCCCGTCCCGTCTCCTTTCGACTCCTTCGTCATAAGGTAGATTATTTTACCGAGCGGGGCACCCACGAAAGCTCTCCTCGGGTACCGTTACCGCCCTGAATTTGCCGGCGAGAGGTTTCCGTTCCAGGTTGACCGCTTCTCAGAGGCGTTGCCTGTTCTGTCGCACGGAAAAAGGACTTTTGCTGTATTTGGATTGCATTTTGCAAGAAGGAACCAGAAGCAGTGCAATGGTGCTTCGATTGTGCAACTTCATCCTTGGCAATACAATTACTGAAACCATGAAGCAATATGAAATTTACATGATAATTTTTGTCTTAAATTTACAGTTTTTAGTGAGTAAAATGGAAACTGTTAATGGATAATCAGGTCTTCCTTCCATGAAGAAAGACGATGCACAATTTTAGCAACATTGCAATGCTCCTGGTTCCTTTTCGCAAAATGCAATCCATTTGATAGTCCTCTGACGTAAGATCGTACTTACGTTTTCGCGTGAGCTTCAGAAAGCATGGTTTTAAATGGATAGCATTTTGCGATAAGGTACCACTATCTCTGGCTCTTTCATAAAAGCACATATCTGCATAGGGAAACCAATGGCATGTATGTTGTTTCTAAAATGGGCCAAAAATAGTGGTCCCTTATTGCAAAATGTAATCCAAATGTAAGACATGGGTCGAGTGGATATGAAAATACGCATTTAAGTCAGACGTCAGAGGGGTTAATTACCCTGTCGTGCTGTAAAGGCGAAAAATAAAAGATGGCCCCGGCTGATTTTGATGGTGGAAAAGACTAAGTTGGGAAACATTGCGAAAATCACTAGTATTCATTTTCCTGGTTTTCAGTTTTTTTTTTTTATTAATGGTACTATTCAAGGCCAGATGCAACTTGAAAGTGTAAAAAGACTCGCTTTGGGGTTACAATAAGCCCGAAACGAGTTACATCACATCGTGCTCATGCTTTCAGCAACTCTTTGGAAATTATCGACACAAAAAATCTTAAGGCTGGCAAATAGACATTCTCGGTTTTCACACGACCCAATTCAATCACAGTCGAAGTGTTCGAGTTAAACTATTGGAACATGAGGAATTTCAATCGTTAACTGGCAATTCCAATATTCTTGTCTCGTTGAAAGCCGCCAATGAGAAAATGGCCATGATTTTGCACTTAGGGGCTGTTCATAACATACTTATCGCTATACTGCCGTGCTAAGCAAGAACGCCGTAGATCCATCAAGATTTCCCCGCATTTTTTGGAACTTAACAGTTTATAAAATAAAAACTCTTTTACCCACGCACCTCAAATTTTCATGTGAAATTCTTGATATTATTTGCAAAAGAATTCTGTAAAAACATTGTCTTAAGGTACACAAGTTTTTCTGCTACGGTACATAGTTTCCAAAAAATTTAAAATGTCGTTTACGCCGTTTTTGCGTTGCACGGCAGTATAGGAAAGGGTAGGGCAGCCCAGGAGAGCGTCACGCCTTTAAATGCGTATCGTGTCCTTCGTGTTAAATGATAGGAACCTACGTCAAAACAGAATTACGAGGGGAAGGGGCGGGGTGTTTGAAAAATCCATATTTTATCGTATGCGCATTTTATCAACAACTCCTTACCAGTCATATACCTCGTAACATGTTGAATACATTAATTATGAAGAGGGTGGAATTAAAGAGAACAACTACAACTAGATTTATCTTCTGTGCAATGCTAAGTCACAAATAAGATAATTAATGAACAAATAAAAGAGAATCCTAGAATTTACTATTCTTAGTGAAGTTTGAAGAACGGTATTTCGGAATGAATCGTTTGGTTGGTTGCTTTTTTACCAGCTAATTATCAACACCTAAGAAACTTCCGAAACTTCCAAAAAAGTTTAATGGATAGTGCTCAAATGTTTCACAAGCGAAAGTTGAATACAATCTGACAACTATGCGCTCCTTCCGCCACAATCTGAGGGTAGGAGGGTTCTGTTTGTCTCCGCGCCAGTATTTTCCTTCGCACGATGACTACCCTCCTTCCCCAAACTTTTCTCAAGCAAGCCTGTTGCCTTCTATTTACTTTTATGTATTCCTGAATTCGTTTACCTTCATCTCTTGCGCTGTTTCCTTAACCTTGTTTTCCTCGTTTCACGAATACCGTCTTAAGAGAGCGAGTTGCTTATTAAATGACAGTTCTATCAATTTACGGCTGAATACTTTGCAAAGTTTCATAATGATGAGATAAAAATTAACGACTAAAAAGAACAAATATCGTGCTCTGGTGAGCTCTTTCCTCCCTGTAATGAGAATTTAGGTTAACACTGAATTTACTGCACATGGTAAAATCACCGTCTCTGATTAAAGAGAGCCGGTTTTTGCAGTAATAAAGAACCCCTCTGACCCATAACGTGCATTTGCGCTCTTTATGTTATCGCGCTATTGTGTTCTACATATATTCGGCATCAGCCAACTTTTTGAACTTTTTTGACTCACTGAGCCCGAACACAATGGTGTGTTGCTCGCAAGACGCCCCTTGTATTTTACAAGGAAAGCACCGATTAACACAACGCTATGGCCAGCAATTTTTTTAAAGGTGTCGTTGTAACAGTTTTACAAGTTACAATTTTGATAAACTTAGATAAAACTAAAAAACAGTTATAAAACTTTTACTCATCTCACAGACCTCTGAATATTCATCAAAATAAATTCCCAGCTCGTCAGTTGTAGAATTCCTCTCTGCTCCTCTTTGATTTGTGTTCTCGTCTTACTTAAAAACAATGATTGAAGAAGGGATAACGATGAGGGCCGTTTTGGGGCCCACCCTGAATGTCCCTAATTCTACAATTTTTTGCTCTTTCAAAGTCTATATTTTATTGAATGCAGCATGATTTGGTTATTTTTAGTCTCCTTTTGGGTCCAATAATGGCCTACATGGATCTAAAGGCCGACTTGGGGCAAAATATGCGGGTTTGTGGCCTGCATTTGGCGTCAAAATCAGCCCGCGGGCCTGATTGGCCAGTTTTGGACCCAAAATGAGACCGCCGCGGAAATGACAAAATCATGATATTTTTCGTAAAATATAGGCCTTTAATGAGCTCAAAATCGTAGAATTGAAGAATTTCAAATAGAGTAGGCCTTAAAAATGGCCCTTATCAATATTCTTCCTTTCAATGGAATCGATTCACTTAATTTTTAATGTCTAATCTTATTTTCACAATCTTTTTGTATGTTCTCAGTTCCTGTTGCTAGCAATGTCTCGGATGAAGCGCTACAACGAATGTACCTGCTTCAAGATGATCAAGACAGAAAAGTAACTGTGCCTCGCGTCGGAGGAGAAACGACTCACGCACGGAAAGAAGTCACAACAGGTAAAAATTCTATCATAGTTCTTCTCAATACCACATCTACTTTTAAAAAAAAGGAAAAATAGAATTATGTAACGCAGTCAAACAGGAAAATGCCTGCTCCCGTTTGGAAAAACATGAGTCGTGGGTCATTTTCAGTATAATTAGTACATTTCTTCTAAAAAATCTAAGTTGAATGAGGATGCCGAGCTTGAATATAAACATAGTCAATTCGATTAGATGGATTAAACTTCCAAACGGCTCGAATGAGGGGATTGGAGGACAAGCGGGGTAAGTGCAATTTTTGCCATTTCAAGGAATACGTGTTCCAAGTTTCGAAATTACTGGGAGCCTTGCGGCGGAAAGAAAGTTCAATTTCACCTTTTGATGTTTAAACTTTAGATTTTAGTCGTGAATTTTTCACAGATCATATTGAAGACTAGTTTTAGTCGAAATCGTTAGTATCTAGATTTTTCCAAAAACCGCTTAGCTTTATAACTACTACCTACTAACAAAAGTTGAGCTATTATGTATATGCACATTGTTTTATATTATTAAAGCATGGCCTGAGTCGCAGTCATTGCATATATCTGTAAAATCGACTGCGAGTATAAAAATTAGAGCCTAACACAGAGCTGAGCGGCGTGCTACCGGTGCGAAGCGTGCACTGACGCCTACAAACCTAAGGGGATACTTCACGCAGTGCGCAATGTTTGAAGTATCCCTTAGGTTTGTAGGGGCCAGTGCGCGTTTCGCGCTGGCCGGCCGGACGCTGCGCCGAGGCGTGCCACGGCGCCTCAAACAACTATTTCACAACATTATTTTCGATAGCAATATTCACAATAATATATAATATTTAATTAATTACTAATTCATTATAATATTTATAAACATTCAACATCCTAGGATATTACCGTCTTTACAAAGAATTTGGGAGATGGGTGTACATACAAAAATTTAGATTTTTAAATGAAGGGAGGCAAAGAGTTTCAGAAAGTTGATTGTGACATTGTGTTCGTCGCATGTTATTGGGTTTGTATTCCTTCGACTGTCGGTGAGTAAATCTGTGATCGGAGATCCCTGAGGGCAGAGCAGTCTATAATCACGTGTTTAACGGCGAGAGGTGACAAATTGCAGAAGTTACAGATGGGTTCATCTTCTTTGGAGATGATATTGTGTCACGAGTCTTGTCATGCATGTATTCTTATGGGTCTCAGTAGAGTCCCTTTATACTGAGAGTCAAGACAATGTGAATCCATTTCTGATTGGTTCCCGTATTTTAGGCCTTCACAGTGTCACAAACGGGCGAATAAAGATTACATTTTCACCGATTGCAAAGATTATAATCTGGAACGGATCAGGGAATTGCGGGTTCGGCAAGGAACAAAAGGAATAAGAGAAAGAACGGAGAAAGAAATTTGAGAATGGGCCGATCAAAGATTACAAAAAACGTTCAATTTCTGTAATCTTTATTCCCGTTTGTGACTCCATGAGGGGGTGTTGTCTTGACTCTCAGTATAAAGGGACTCTAGGTCTCAGGGCTCATACGAAAATGGATATAGTTCCTTGTGATTTAACTACGTCCAATTTACCCCTCTAATTCGCAATCACACCTTTCCAGGCCCGAGCACAGTTTCCAACACGCAAACGTTCATCGGCCTGGTGACGGGGGCGCTGGCGATGTTCCTGATCCTGCTCGTCTGTACGGTCTCCCTCATGATCCGCCGCGGTCGGAAGAAGGTGAGCCTGCTGAAGAAGCACTCGGCGCTCATGTCGACGACCTCCAAGCCGAACGGGGCCATGACCATGAAGCAGATGTCCACCCCGATCATGAGCACGACCCTCTCGCGGGGCTCCAAGAAGGCCAAGGCCCGGCAGAACGGACTCAGCGGCTCCAAGGCCAGCAACGTCTACGGACAGATGCCCGTCGACGAGTCGGAGGACAGCGAGAACTCCTCCGTCTACCACGAGCCTTACAAGCTCCTCCCCTCCGGCAAACAGGACTACGGCTACCTCATCAAGAAGGAGGCGCTCACCTCCAGCAAAAGTGGCGATTATACAGGTCAGTTCATTTTTTGTTGTTGTTCATTTCACCCTCATTTGGACCTCCATACCACTATCATCATTCATTCTCCTTTCTTCGACTTTTTTGTCATATGGACGTATTTCTGTCAAGCGGAACTATGTGCATTATGATGTGAGCCCTCGCTGGAAAAAAAACACATTGAATCTAGAGTCCAGACTCTTAAAAACATCGACAAGAAAAAATACTCTTGATTCAATCAGATTTAAGCTTAAATCAAGAATCAAGCCTCTTAATTTGAGCGGATCTCCTTTTGATTTAAGATTAAATTTGATTGAATTAAGAGTCCTTTTTCTTGTCAATGTTTTCAAGACTCTGGACTCTAGATCCAATGTGTTTTTTTTCCAGTGCTGTTATGCATATTTTTATGGGTCTCAGGGTTCGTGTCTGAATAGACATAGTTCTGTTCGACAGAAATACGTCCATATTATCATTTTAAATACTTCATTTTTATTCAGCCATGTATACAACAATTGCTCACATTTTTAGGGATTTTAAGGGGTTGAGTACGTCCAGCGCTGTACGGAATTATTAAGGGGGTCCAGGGTTGCATTCCGAAGCGTTACATGGGTCCACGGGAGGTCAGAAATGACGAAAAAGTGCGTTGTTTAATTCACGAACACAATCTAAGTAGATTCAACCTTATTTGGACTGCATTTCTCAATAAGAAATAACAATTTATGGCTCATGGCTAAAAACACTTATCTGCGCAGGGAAACTACAAACACACATGTTGTTTCTAAAAAGAGCCAAAAATTTTAATTCCATATTGCAAAATGCAGTCCGTTTAGAACAGATCTTGACGTAAAAACCGGTCTATTTCCACTTAAGTCTGATGTCCCCTTATACATTTTAGCGCATATAATTCTAATTAATTTAATTAGATTTTAATTCACACAACATCGCAAGAACCCAGCTACACGCTTTTCGAAATCCATCTGGCCAGAACCGCTCAGAACTTAGAACGTCAGCGAAAACACAAGTCGAAACTATCATGAGAGTTCCCACCCTCTCGGCCGCCGGCGAGTCTGGTCCGTTACAGCTCGGACTACGCGCCCTACTAAAGTTTCACACCCCCTTCGCCAAATCACCCGAAAATCACAATTTCCTCCACCGGAATACACGTAAGATCTGCACGATTTGGCAGCGGCGCCCGTGGTTCGCGGTGAGCTGAACTCCGGGGCGCAGACATGTTGCACAAGTTAAATTCGAAAAGCACAGTAGCAGGTATTTACAAGACTCCACGTGGCCGACTGCAGCCTCCTGACTTCGGCGTTGTCGGTCCGCGTTTAAAAATGCGTGCGTTTTCCGTTGGTTTAAAGGGAGGAAGTTTGATATTCGTCGCAAAATGCGGCAATGCTGGAGGACTTGCGGTAAAGTCTGTTAAAGCGGAGCTAATTTGATTTCCCGGCGAAATTCCTCCGCTTCGAGCTACGAAGTGTTCCGCTTTTCAGGTGAGATGCATGATGCCGTGTTGGGGGATGCAAGTTCTCTCCGAACAGGAGAAAAAATAAACCTCGCGGGAAAGTATGTGTGTAGTTTCACTCAACCGACAAATGCTGCATTAAAAGCCGTGTTTGTAGTGGTTCCTTATACAGCTCCTTTTCCATAGGGAGGTCTTACTTTTATTTCTAAAGTGCAAAGCAACGTATCTCCATTATCTGGGTTTGCAGATGTCCTATCTTTTTTTTTTTTTTTTTTTTTTTTTTTTTTTATGGTCAAAGACCAGATGTGGTGCTCTAGTGTTGGTGGCTCTAAGAAGAGCCGTTGGAAAGGGCAAGCCGGCCGGCTGCGAGATGTCCGCTGGGATGAGTGATGTGACCCGTGTGACTGACGGGAGCGGAGTGTCATGAGGTGGTGAGGTCACGACATATATAGCCGTGGTTGAGGCTGCGGCGGCCAATCGGGAGCGAGCATGGGCTGCGTCGCCAGAGGTGAGCGGTGATTGGCCGCCACAGTACTTCCCTGCGGTTGAGACGGAGTCTCTGTGGGTGGTTGGAGAAGTGAGTGGTGAAATTGGATGTTGGAGTGAAAAACAGGATTGGTAAATGTGTGTAAAGTGGTTGGAAAGTTGAGGATTGAGTGAGTGATGATGGGATGTTTGAGGACTTGATTGAGTGATGATATGAGTTGAGGGATGGTTGATTGAGTGAGTTGAGGATTGCTTGAGTGAGTTGAGGATTGATTGAGTGGTGAGAAGCAGGAGGTGTGTGTCAGCGTGCCGGGGAGCGCCATTCGACCCGGGTGACACACGGTTGAAGAAATATGACCATCGTCTTTCCGGGCAAGGAGGTTGATGCTCGGGACAACAAGTTGGGAACGTGCTGTGTTCTGCGGCAACTTGCTGGAGCGTGTTGATTTGCGCGGCGGAGAGAGATGGATACGATGCGGTGATGATGCTGGAAGCTTTCAATGCTCATGCTACGATGATCTAATGTGACTGTTCCAGTGAGAGATTTGAGTTTGAGTGCTTGAGTACAGTTGACTTGAGAGAAGGTTGAGCGTGTTCTTGAGGTGAGGATCCATGAATGAAGCGAACCAGAAGGCTGAGCGTGTTCACTCACGTCGGGAGTCACCAATATGGTCAAAGACCAGATGTGGTGCTCTAGTGTTGGTGGCTCTAAGAAGAGCCGTTGGAAAGGGCAAGCCGGCCGGCTGCGAGATGTCCGCTGGGATGAGTGATGTGACCCGTGTGACTGACGGGAGCGGAGTGTCATGAGGTGGTGAGGTCACGACATATATAGCCGTGGTTGAGGCTGCGGCGGCCAATCGGGAGCGAGCATGGGCTGCGTCGCCAGAGGTGAGCGGTGATTGGCCGCCACATTTTAAAAAAAACGCTAGCGAACGTTCTTGATATCGTCATTGATTTTTCTTCTCGGCTAGCAAAATATTTTGCATAGATCTCAAGCTATGAAATATATTTGTTTCTCTCCGAAAAAGTAATTAAAGAAATGAGTTGAGCCACATGTTGCGAGGTTTTTGTATATCTCGAATAATAAAAGAAACCCAACGGAGATATGCGGATATGTACTTTACCCGTCGATACCTATGGTTTTCAAGGTCCAAATGTTGTAGGAAAGTTGTAGGGATCTTTCATGAAACATCATAAAAAGGGTAGTTTATCTTTCAGTTCGAAAACGACTCATCTCCAGGACTGAAGTTTTTTCTCAAGGTTTGCAAAAATTGTCTTAACCAGGAATTCACTATCATTAAGCGTCACCAGTACTTGCAAAGTGTTGCTGTGTCTTGATTCTTAATAAGGGCAACCTTAATCATTCTCTCTACCATCCGTAGATAAAACATGCACTGGAAAAAAAAAAACACATTGGATCTAGAGTCCAGACTCTTAAAAACATCGACAAGAAAAAATACTCTTGATTCAATCAGATTTAAGCTTAAATCAAGAACCAAGCCTCTTAATTTGAGCGGATTTCCTTTTGATTTAAGTTTAAATCTGATTGAATCAAAAGTCCTTTTTCTTGTCAATGTTTTCAAGAGTCTGGACTCTACACCCAATGTGTGTTTTTTTTTCTTTTTTTTTTTTTTTCTTTTTTCTTTTTTTTTTCTTTTTTTTTCCAGTGTGCCTTAAATCAACTTCAAAATTGAATTTTCCGTCTGTTGCAGATTTCACAAGTGTACATAGTTTTCAAGACGAAGTCAAATTTACGTCACCGTCATTGTTCAATTTGGTGCCCCCGCCTCCTCTCTCTGCCAGGGCAGCTCAGTATGATTTCATCGGGCTCAGTAAATCGCTTTCAGCAAACATCCCTATTGAAAGCTACTATGCAGCCACAGATATCTATAAGGTTGGTTTCAACCCATCACGGCACTATATTAACAAGTAGAAAAATAATTCCCCTAGACATCGTTAAAATTGGATTTCCATGTTCCACCACCGCTAGGTTTTGAATAACAGTCCAGGCGGAATCCATTTTAATTTTTGTCAGGGAAACAAAGATGCGAGAAAATAAAATGTCAAAAATTCATCTCCAATATTAAGTCAATTTCGAAAAAGAGGAAAGGTCGATGCGTTTTCTCAAATAACGTTAAAATGAATGTTATCTTCAAACCATCAATTTTATCTATAAATTAATCATTATTCTAATTGAAAATGCAAGCATTTGCGTATCAATAATATTCATTCAGCTATTTCGGCTTAATTTGCTTAACGTAAAAATACAGAGAATAAGTTCCGATAAACGACAAGGCTTTTAGAATCCCCAATTTTATGTTTCTCAATTTGAGCCAATTTAATTAGAGCGTTAATTAATCTCTCTTTGTTTTTTCTTCATCCCCTAACTTCTCTAATCTATCCTAAGTAAGGGTTAAGTTCGAGCCTACCCTTTCTGTAATGGGACGAAGTAACTTTCCCGTCTCAATGCGTATAAATTTCTACAAAAGGGGCATGACTTCTCCAATTTAGAGCATTTTAAATCATACCGGTATAAGCAGCGTCTCCAGCGAAAGTCCTAGGGAGGCTCAAATCTCCTAGTTAGAATGTCTGGCACCGGAGAACTTAAGAGATTCTACAGAATTGAGAGAGATATCATATTTTGACGGCCGTGTCTCGTTTTAAGAGCCTTTGATACGTATATTATGGTGTGAAGTAGATGTATCGAGAGATATCTTTAGTTGCTCCACTTTAAAGGTGAAACTCCACAGCGGGGCGATTATTGAAATGATATCGACTGTATGTCAGCGCTTTGTCGTGTCGCGCCATCGACTAAGCCATTGCTTAGTCGATGGCGCGACACGACAAAGCGCTGACATACAGTCGATATCATTTCAATAATCGCCCCGCAGGCATCATTATTCGTATCCCGAAAGACAATTTTTAAGGAACTACTCCTTTAATTTTACTACACCGCTAAAAATAATAATCTTCTGTTCTCATTTAAATTAAGTTCAGAGGAAGTAAGACATTACTCCTTGTTGCAAAATAAATTTTATGTTTCAAACATAGTCATGGAATACATTCCCACTTTTGTCTTCTTATTTTCTCCATGCAAAAGCCAAAGCAGATTAAATCATCATTTAAAAATGTCTCACTCATGTTTCAGACCGAGAGGAAAGAGCAACATTTTACCTCTGGTCGATTTACACCTTGGAAGTTACCTGACGGCACGCCGGACGAGGCTGTTAACATACCTGAATTTTCAAGGCACAGACTGAGAGTCATCGAGAAATTAGGAGAGGGTGCCTTCGGAATGGTAAGTTTTATATACTGCTTCTAAAATAACCCCCCCCCTTTCAGCCCCACGTGGCCCGATCCTTAACGGGCGCTTCGTTGCAATAAAAAACTTGTTTCACAATTCAAAAATTTGAAGACAACGGGCTTATTGCCTCTTATAATAGCCACCTTCCTGCAAATAGCCACAATCATGTTTTAAATCTGTCTATTGATCTCTGTTTATAACTGTGGCACAATGTGAACAGTCATAAGATTGTATAGTAGTAATGACTCCCATTAAGATCTAAATTTTCAGAATTTTTAGCATGCAATTTCCAGTAAATACTTCTGAATTTTTAAGAACGGTATCATATTATCAATACCGTTAAATAAAGGCCTTAGAATATCTGAGAAAAAACATATGTATGCCTCTTAAATCTTTCCATTTACGTATCCTGAAGTCTACAAAACTATTGAATACTCGATTATTGGCTGTGTTTTCATTCCTTCCTTCCTTTGATCGAAATTATAGGTCCATCTCTGCGAAACGGAGGGCGTTCCCGAGTACAACGGAATGTCAACTGGACACCACAAAAAACAAGTCATTGTGAAATCTTTAAGACGAGGATGTAACGAAACGACGAAGTAAGTTTCTCCCCCGCAAAATTTTAATTTTGTTTTCTCTCATCAAAATCAGCCTCTTGATTGCGAAATCGGGTAATATTGAAATTCTATATCGACGGTAAAACCAGGAAAACACCTGTTTCAATATTTCTGCCCCTGTCATTTTTTTTTTTTTTTTTTTGAGGACGAACAAGTTCATACAATTGTGTTCTGAGATGCGATTATTACTAAATATTTTTCAATCAGAGCAGGAAAAATCACGAGAATGCTAAAGTAATGACGTTGGCTATTTCTTTAATGAAACATAATATATGATAGGAAGCCGCTGCAAAGATGGAATATGATGAATTAGTTCCACCGGCATTTATTCTCATGAATCAGTGTTTTCTGACGACAATTTAATGGAGCTTCTAATCGCAATATTCAAATTTGTTGAGCCGAAATTCACTTATCTGATTTCCATGCATTTTCTCACTTTTAAATCTACTTTTATACGATTTGATAACGGCGCAGAGATACAACTATTCGTGCTTGATGGATGTCCGTGCTGCGTCTGCAAAATTGAAGGCGCGATGGCGCGATGCGTGAACTCCCACGGATTGTTCCTTGCTCTTTGCCTCGTGTCTGACGTCAGACATCATTTCTCCATCCCCACGCTTTTAAATCTCCAGACATCGCACAGTGAATCAAGTCAATTACAGAGGTCGGACATGAAATTTTTAACCGAAACTGCAATTTTTGATGTTTAATTCGTCACATTTTAAATTTTGAGGAGGGTTTTTCAAAGAAAATTTTACGAGGAAACCAATGGAACCTATTTTAAACCTCAAAGTTTTGTATGAACGGAGTTACAAACGTTTAAAGTTTCCAAATTTTGTCCGACCTCTCCCTTTGATCCGATCCACTGTGCGGCGTTTTTCCTCAGCACGGCAGACTGATTGTCAACTGGACTGCATTTTGCAATTTGGAACTATAAATTCTGGCTCATCTGGAAAAACACTTATGTGCAAAGGGAAACTAATGGCACATACGTCGTTTTTAAACCGGGCTAGAATTTATAGTTCCAAATTGCAAAATGTAATCCAACTTTCCTTTCCGGTTTTAGAGGCCTGAACATCCTGTGCGAAGCTTCGATTTACAGTAATGACCAATAAATCATGACTCCAAATTCCCGTGGAAAATTGAGTTTTATCCCCGAGAGCGGGATGGCAGCAGTGAAGTGGATCCGCTCATTTGATATTCCGTGTTGCAGGAAAGAGTTCCTGAGGGAGATGTGGTGGCTGGCCAGCGCGCGGGACCCCAACATCGTGCGGGTGGTGGGCAGGTGCTGTCAAGAGGAGCCGTTCTGCGTCCTCCAGGAGAACTGCGAGTTTGGCGACCTCCCAAATTTTTTACAGTTGCATGCAGCATCCGAACAAGAAAGCCCCTCAAAGTGAGTATCAACTTCTTTGCCTCCTCCGTCCTTTCCATCGCTTCTCCCGCGTAAAAAAATGCTTAACTTTAGGCTTACGACGTTTATCGATTTTCTGAAAAACTAAACAAGGGGGAGGGGGGTTTAAAAGTATTCTTTTTTTTTTTACTAGAGCTGAGTATTTGGTATGACTTGGAGCGGCGTATGCAATTTCAGGTGCAATTACTTCATATCTTGCACGATTCCTCAGCATACGTGGTGAAATGAAGGCCAAAAGGATTGCATTTTGCAAAAAGTAGCAAGGAGCGTCGCCATGTTGCTAAGATTGTGCAACTCCACCCTTGGAAATAAAACTACTGTAATCATGCAATTATATGGAATTTGTATGGTAACCAATGTCTTTAAATTTCCAGTTTTTAGTGTATAAAATAGAAAATGTTCATAGATGATCAGGTCTTTCTTCCAAGAAAAAAGAAGTTCCACAATTTCAGCAACATTGCAATGCTCGTGGTTCCGTTTTGCAAAATGCAGTCCAAATATCATCTTATTGGTGACATTCCTGTCATTCTGGCTTCGCATGATCTTTTGAAAGTTGCCAGATTTTCAATTGAAAAAGCAGAATTTTCTAGGAATCTTATCTATATTTGACTCCAAATTTGTCAGAGATTCTCCTTTTTTTAATGAAGAGAAAAATGGAGCTAATGATTCTGCTTTTTTTTTTAATTAGGAGAAAAATGGAGCTAATCACGAACCTCGATCGTATCGAGGCTGCGAAATAAGAGCGATAAATATCTATGCAGATGTAACCTCCGCTTGCTTTTATCTGCACATCCGTGGATGTCAAATTTACGTCCTAGGGTGTTAAAAGTAAAAAAAAAAAACAGGTAGAGTAAAGTAAGAATTTAAGAGTCGTCGGGCGTGTAGCATCTCGTTGTGTTTAATAACCTTGTATTTTCATCTTTTGCAAAGAGTGTACAAGTGAAGAGCGAAACTTCAATAAATATGCCTCTCCTTTGTTCCAGGTATGGTTGTTTGATATATATAGCCACGCAAATTGCATCTGGAATGAAATATTTAGAATCAATAAATGTTGTACATAGAGATCTCGCCGCGCGGTAAGTTTTATCTCCCTCAAATTCCATATTTAAAGTATAAAAATTCGTGTCATAAATTCCCATCATAAAATTTATGGCGTTGTTCGAAATCGCATTAAACCAGCACTTTCATCGCTACCTCCTGCCTCCTCTCACGGATGTGCTGTAGCAGTAAAATGTATTTCGTTCAAACGCCTGTACCCGTTTCCCACTATCCACGTCATTTCTCCTCCTCTCCCATCCGTCTCTTTCTCTCCTCTCTTTTGGATGCAATAAAAAGGTTTAAACCTTTCCGAGCACTTCCCATTCTCTCTGCATTGAAACTATAAAAAAAGGATGCAAAGCAACTTTTAAACGAGGCAGAAACTTTATTCCGGCTGAAAGTTTCGCGTTTCATTATTCACGTATAAGGAACCTGTTAAAAAGCACTGTTTCCAACCGTTATTTTTCTCTTTCAGGAATTGCATGGTCGGCAAGAATTACGTCATTAAAGTTTCTGATCATGCCATGTACTGCTCTCAGTACGACCTAGATTACTACGTTAGTGATACAAAAACCAAATTGCCTATCAGGTGGATGGCCTGGGAAAGTATATTACTGGTGAGTTTTCTTCTATTTTCCGCTTAAAAAATTATTCCCGCTTACAATTTCACTACACAGGACACAATTTATTCTACTTTAAAAAAAAGTTCAAGGATACTCAACAATCCTACGCCGTGGCTTCTGAACCTATTTTGCGAACTAGATGACATGAAAATTACTTCATTGAAAAGACCAAAACTACATCTAGCATCACTCAACCACAAATTTGTGGCAAGGTATAGCCATGAAATGCATGGGACTCTCAAATTTCTGACCAAAGATAATATTGTGAAATGCTCCATTTTTGTTTTCGACCCCTGTATTTTTCATATCTTTTTACATTTTCCACTGATAAGACTGCGTTTAGTGTTTTCCGGACCAACATTTCTAGTCCCTTAGGATTGCGTGTCCGTCTCTGAATTGTCTGCTTCATAAATATAAAAAATTTCACCACCTCGTGAAATTTCATGAAATATATCACAGAGAATTCCAATTTCTTACAAGAGCCTTTCGAGTCAAACCAAGCACCTTTGCGGCAAAATTTGAGTCAAATGATGTGAGTACCTGCAAGCGAAAAAGAAATAACTTTCATTTCACGTGTTATTTTAGGGTAAATAAGAAGATTGTAGAATAGTGCCGGGACCACATTATTCTGCAAAGAAATCAAGGCTCAAAAATTCCAAAAATGTGGACCCAGCACTATTCTGCCGTGCTAAGGAAGAACGCCGTATGAACATTTGAGAGTTGCCAAATTTCCTCCGATACAATGTTTATTTTGGGGAAAAATTGTGAATATTTTTCCTTGAAATTTTCAGACACTTTAGATCAAATTTCAAACAAAATTATCTGAGAAATTGGCAGAAAAATATTAAAAAATTGTTCCCGAAAATTAGTGATTTGCCAGAGGCAATTTGGCAACGCTTGAAGGTTTATACGGCGTTTTTCCTTAGCATGGCAGTATTCTACAATCCTGTTACTTGCAGTTCAGGCCACATTTTTAGTATTTTTTTCTTCTTGTTTCAGGGTAAATACACGTCCAAGTCGGACGCGTGGTCGTTCGCGGTGACGATGTGGGAGATCCTGACGATGTCGAGTCAGCGGCCGTTCGGGGAGCTGACGAACGAGCAGGTGATCGAGAACAGCAACCACTGGTACCAGAACGACGCCCAAGAAGTGTACTTAGCCAGACCGGCGGCCTGCCCCCGGGAGGTCTACGATCTCATGGTCGAGTGTTGGAAGCGCCACGAGGCCGACCGGCCCCGCTTCGCCGAGATCCTCCTCTTCCTCCAGAGGAAGAACCTCGGCTTCCAGCCCAAAGTCGACGGTGAGTGTCCTCCTACACCCGGCTATTTATTTATTAGAAAAAACAACTTAATTGGCCCGAAACACTAACAAAGAAACAACTTAAAACGGGACTAAGGCCGCAAATAATACAAAGAAACACATAAAATAAAATGAAAAACCCGGGACATCTCGCAGGGATCACACCCGCATTTTCAACCGGCAGAACAAGAAAATCAAAAAAAAGACGCTATGAGCCTGAGATTACTCAGGTGTTCCAGCTCCATCTAGGCCCGAAAGGAAGAACTGGTGATAAATGCTATTGAGTCCATCCACATCAGCGCGGTAATTACAAACTGTATTTCTATTCTTGAGGATGTACCATCTCAAGTAGGACCCTCGGAAAATAATGCCTCTCAGAGGCTAAAATTTTAGCCACATTGAAGTCAAACCGATGATTTATTTTATGTGTTTCTTTTTATTATTTGCGGCCTCAGTCCCGTTTTAAGACTATCTATATCTATCTTTATCTATTAGAGACGCAGAATAAGATGAAAATCAAAGCTAAAATTCGGTGAACAAGGATAAAGGTAAAAGGTCCTATCTTCGGTTGTGTTCTTGAAGTAGCCTTCGAAGCACACAAAAAAAGACAAAAAGAACCAACACAATATCGACGCTGAAACTGCAAAACTGCGTATCTCGGTTCTGAAGTTTCGAAAACTCCGTCCCTTTTTTATTTTTTAATAGATAATCGAACCAACACCATAGCTTGGAATTGTCACGGAATATTCTTCATAAAGAGAAGAAAAGTCACTAAAATTTTTAAATGATGACGTTTAATAGTTTTCCGAGTAGAAAATGACAGGAAGTCTGCGTCGCAAACCGAAATGTGCATTTCTGCAGTTTCACCATCGGTGTGGATACAGAGCAGGAGAAGAGAACGGACACGCGTTGATCGTTGACGACGGCGCAGAGATACAACTATTCGTGCTTGATGGATGTCCGTATTGCGTCCGCAAAATTGAAGGCGCAATGGCAACTCGTAATAATCCGCTCTATGCCACCAATGAATGAGATGTCGCTTGGAAACCTTAATAATCGATTCTTGACCAAAGCTTCAAATGGGGAACTATCGATAATCGATCATTCACACCTCGCCACTGCTCAGAACTCATACTCCCCCCCCCTCCAGAAAAAACCGTATTTTTGTTCATCTATGCATAGGTGGTTTACCGCTCAAGATGTGATGAACAAATTATCTATTTTGGAGCATGATTACTGATCAGGTAGTTTGAAGTTGAAGCCCATTTCCAAAATTGATTTCAACTTATTTCTCTTCGCTTGATTTCAGGGCTTTAACCGGACCGGAGACCCCGCTCGCTCTCACTCGAAAGAGAACCGTTAGCTGTAATTTAGAATTATTCGAGCAATTGCAATGATAATCAATGATCCTCTCATTTAAACTTTACCCTTCCAACCTCTCGTCTTTCTCTATCTTATTTTTTCTAAAACATTCCCATTTATTTTTTATTTGCACTCTTTTAGTTACCATTTCGTACCTAAGATCCCTTACTCCCTCTTCCCTCGTTTTTGTAAATTTGGATTCTTTTTTTGTAGAGTTTAAATGTGTAATGTTTAAAGTGATGCTGTATAGTTTTTAAAGTTACAGAACAAACTATTTTTTTTTCTCTTGCGTGGCTCACGTGGTGAGGAAAGTACTTGTGGGTACCCGAAACGTTTTTACTTCAACGGAGGAGGATACGAGGTTCATTCTTATTGCATCTGCATCTTGGCAACTAATATCCCCCGCACTTTTATTCTCTAAAATATCAGAAAAAGAAAAAAAAAACAAGTTTTTTTTTATGTATGGATCCATTGGTTCTAGTGATATTTTTACTGATGTGACACCATAATATTGTGCTCATAAAGTAGCTTTGACGAGTCTGCTGTAATATAACCCTACAACTTGTTAAATTTTTTGAAAAAATGTAGGCTTAAAATTAGCCAATGGCACCATTGTCTCAATGTGTCTCTTCGGTTTTATTTTTGCTGTTTTTTTTTTTTTCAATCACCATTTTTTAAACATTTTAAACAAACGTATAAATCCACATACGACTTTTTAACCTAATATCGTGCATCCCTCTAAAGTTTTGATTCGTGATTTATTTTCTGTTATCGAGAGATTAATAATCGTAACGCATATTTCTTAGTACACAAAAAAAAACATGACTGTAATTTGCCGTCAAATAGATACCTTTCGAATCAAGAATGAAATGCTGGAATTGCACAGGTTTCTGTACCCTGTTAACGTATTATTCCTTAATATGATCTCTTGATATATTCTTGTCCTCTTGATTCAAGAGTAACTTTTTAAGGAACAAATTCAAGAATATGTCTGCTTAAGTCAAGTCACCTTTGTATCTAGAGTAGCTTAAGTTTCACTCCCAATGAATGAGGGTAAAATGTAGGTAAATCTTCATCATGAACTTCAAATGCCGGTAAACCTTGCAGAAAAACGTATAAATAGGATCCTATGTGACGTGAAACCATATAATAGAATACTTTCCATCAAAGCCCATTTACAAAAATGCCGAAACTCAGAGGGGAGGAAACGAAATTACCCTCATGACTTAATGATTGAAAACATGCGTTTTCTGTGTCGCTCCCCCGCACTGTGAGTGCACAAGTCCTGTATCTCCCCCGCCCCTCCTGCCGCGTGAAATATGACGCATGTAACAAAAATTGCGACCCTGTAATTACTTCCCATTAAAGATATTCGAAGAGGGGTCTTCGGGACGCGCACATACCCTCCATTCCGAAGTAGAAATGATGATGCTGGGGTTTGAATAGTTGCCTATGTTTACCGTTTTGCTCCATTGCCTTGTTTGTTGGATTTAAAAGAGTTGACCTGAAAAAACTGCACTGAATGAATACATAGTTTAGTTACCACTCATAAACTGATGCCATGGTCGGTAAATCGATTTTATGGATGTTTCCACTAGGAACAAAATAATAAGGAGCGTAACTAAAAATGAATTCAAGGGCACTTGCCATCGCCATGGCTTGAACTTCATTCCGGGAGAAGTTGAATGGACCACTAGACAAGGTACGAATTTCAGCATTCTGATACATGTTTCTCAACCAAAATTTCATGTAGAACACGATACGCACAACGAAAATTACCAAAATCAACTCCTGACGAAGATATTTAATGATTCTTGATGCGTGAATTCAAACCACCCGCTCATGAAAACTCAATGCTCTACGTGATTCACATCGCGCGCTAAATGTTTATCATGACAGTCTCTGCGATGTAAGAATCTTCAACTTCAATCTTGACACTTTGGCTCAGCTATAGCAAATTACCAATAGTTTGAACAACACATGGTGGAAAATGAACATTGCTCGATTGAGAAGCTTGCTGAAACCGTTGTAGTGCGCGATTTGACTCACGTAGAGTTTTGAGTTTCTTGTGAGCGGGCAGTTCAAATTCCTCGCAATCAGTACGAAATAAAAACGTTAATATCTTTGTTAGAAGTTGCTTTCGGTAATTTTCGTAGTGTGAATCGTGTTCTACGTGAAATTCTGGTTACGAAACATGTATCAGATTGCTTAAATTCGTACCTTGTCTAGTGGTCCATTTTCGCTATTTTGAAATATATATTTCTGATCTTTCAATTATTGTCTTTTGCGGTCGATGTAAGTCAACCGCTAATCAGATTTGTAATCTAAAATGCATTCTCACGAGCTAAGTAAAGCTGTAAATCAGTACTGTTAAATAGGCGCTCTAAAAGAACTTTTTTTGAGACACTATTCTTAATTTTGAGTATTTCGAAACAATTAACTTTGTCCTCTTCTTTTTTATTTTCGATTGTCAGATAAAAATGGAATCGTAAGACACAATCTAGGAAAAGAAACCTTGCAAGAGGTTCAATATTTCAAGAATGTATATTTTTAAGGAGGTTACTCTTATCATTTTCATAATCTCGATTTTTGGAAAATAAAAAAAAAAAAAAAATGGCCAACCAGTGGGTAGGTACCAATTGTGAGGGGAAAAAGAAACCACAAAAACAAAAAATGCAAAATACAAAACTTAGTTTAATGATCTGTGACACCAGCGACTCATCATTGGACTGCGATCTTTGGGGAACATGATACAGCTAGGATCATCGCGTCAGCGGCAGATTTTCGTTGCGCGTTTTGCATAATCATTTCCCCGCAGGCGTTGTGCACACGCTATACCAGTACACGTGGCAACTTTGGGACAGGAGGGCATTTGTCGGCAGGCGGAGGCAAGCTAGCGTCGGTTGATCTACGAGCCCCATGAGGCTTTGACTGACATTGCAAGGGGGCGCCTTTACCATTTTACAAAGGTCCCGACATGACTTCCTTTAGCGCATAACATATGACAGAGAATTATGTTCGTATTTATACTCTCAAAGCCCGTGTGATAATATTGCTCTCGATATTTTTATTTGCTCCCATTTGCCTTTAAATTTTTACGCTCATGCCGCGCGGTTCCAGAGAGTATGGGAGGTATATCCTCCATACTTACTCTCTGCGCAGTTCCCATTTTTCGTTTGTGACACGCAGATGTAACAGCGGAAAAGAGTCTGTCAAAAAAATGGCGGGGGGGCGGGGATTTTGTTCAAATGTGCCCTGAAAGATACCTTATGGTGAGGCAATCTACCAGTGTAAATCTTAGCTTGAGTTCAAAGCTCGATTTGGCGATGCACCGTTGCAAAGTTTGCTTTTTTTACCATCAAAAAATGCAAATATTGTAAATTTCTCAAATGTATTGAAAAAAACAACTTCAGTCGATCCCTTTCTACCCTCTTGGACACAATTTTATTCGTTAATGTCACTGTGGTGCCCCTCCCCCCTCCCCCTATATTGATCGGAAGTTGTATTTTAAATTAAGGAACTTCAAGATGTTGGCATTTTTAAATGTTACAAACACAAATTTTGCAACGCTGTATTTTCAACATCAGCCTCGATTTCAAGCTGAAATTTTGAGTGGCGGATTGTCTCATAAGATGAGGTACCGCTTAGACCTTTGAACGTGTCCCTGCTTGTTCTTTTGTCATTTTTAAACTTAATGAATTTTCACGGTGAGCGTTGATTTCAAGAAATGACGAACACTGTGGAAATAAATCATAACTACGTTATGACGTAACACAGACCGCAACACGTGCAGAATTTTTTTCACATTTGAGGCTGCTTCAACTAAATTTGAACCGAAGTAATCAACATGATTCCTATCCCGCCAGTTCCTAACCTGATTTTACACTTCAGTTAAACCGATGCATTGAACGAACCTCAGATCTTTCTCCACTAAATATCTTAACATTCCCTCTAAGCTGATAACTGGATACAGTCATCGGTATTTAATTGTATATGGTCTGTACATTACCAATCTTCTTTTAGATGTATGTAAAATATTGTAAATAGCTTTTTCCTCTTTTGAAATTTTGGAATATTCATATCTCGTTTCGATTGACATTTGTGTCGGTGCAAGGACGAAAACCATTCTGAACGAATCAGAATTCACGACCGCTCTAAAAAGAGCAGCTTGCATGCATTTTTTTCCATTAGATGTATCTTTGACTTTTTGTGAATCATCGTAAAATCTCCCATGACATCTGAAAGCAAAATTTATCTACATTCCATTTGTGTGATAGTCTCAATGTGTTGCTATTAAACAACCTTGCGTGATTTATGTAAAAGAGAACATTCCATTAGTTTAAGAGTAGATACCAGCGTTAATAAATACAGGTAAATCTGGTATTGAAGAACCAATTTTCCCCAGATTTTGACTCATTGCATTCGGATGAATAATGAGAGTACACTATGAAAACTCCTATACCAGTCATTCATAATTTCTTTTCTCTCGAGTTGATAAAAATGTACTATATTTGCCGGAAAAGGAGCTACTCTTATACCTGAAAGTTCTGATTTTGTTTCCAAAATGTTGAGATAGTAGTCCGAACTTTTTGGAGTAAGTGTGATTAAAATATTTCAGTATATTAAATTTTGGATGCTAAAACTTTTTAAGGGTAGTTTTTTCTTAATAATGCATTGAATTTTCTCTTGAAAACTGGTCTTTTTATAGTTGAAATTGAACGCTAATTTTTTTTAAGAAAAACAAAAACAAAATAATAATGAAAACAGGCGAAAAAAATCCATGTGAAAATGTACCATACCTTACTAAAAAAAAGTTCTCATGATGACACTCAGTTCAAAGTTAAGAGACTCCCTTCTTCGAGCATTCATAGCATTATTCATCCTTCAACTTATTCATTCACATTCCCTTCTCAATCAGGTTCCTTGCTCTGCAATTGACAGGTTAAAAATGCTCTTTCATTTATTTCCTCGACTCTTGAGCGTGAAAGAAATGGACGTATTTTAATCAGAAAGAACCATATCTATCATAACATGAGCCCTAATATCCATAAGAACACATGAATGACGGAGTTCATGTCACAATCGATGTAGTTCTTTTTTACTCAAATGCATTCAAATGAGCACCACAAATATGGAATTCGTCTTCCACCCCGCGATAAGTCAACGAATTGTAAATAGGTGAACAAGTTCTGATTTATACAAATCCTACTAGTACTTCCATTGTTTTATCTGCATTACAAATTTTGATCCTCCGTTACTGTACTATATCTGTTTTCCATATCCTCTATTTTAAGATTCTAAAAAAAACTTGCAAAGAACTCTATTGTATATTATTATGTCAGATAGTTTGTGTAATGTTGTCACCTAATTATGTATAAGAATTTTTTTAAGCCTATCAGCTCAATTCTTACGTAACTAAGATCGTATTACTAGACTCAATTAAATTTGTGTAGATCGTACTTTTTAATACTTTGCGATTTTGATTTTGCCCCTTTTTTAAGATTTATATTTGCACAAAGAAAAATACTCTGAACGTTTCGAGATGACAAAATCCGACGAGCCTGTCTATTCTTTCTTGTAATTTTCAAGGCGATGGAAATGCCAAAAAGTAAAGAATGTTACAGAAGGGCGCATTGTTCTTGAACAAAAATTTGACGAATATACATCAATGAAGTTGTATAATAAGATTTTTAGTAGCTGATATTTTTTTGATGCTATTCAAAAATTAATGAATTCTCTTTCGGGTGAATATATATTTATCCTATTGTGCTGTATCGTATGTTACATTTTTCAACTTTTTCTTGCCCGCGGCGCGTTAAACCTTTAAGAGAAGAAAAACCAGCGTATACTATCCAAAAATCACAATAAAATTACCTGTAGAAGGTGATTTATTATTTTCTCAGTTGACACTGTAACAGCCTTCAATTTGAAGGATAAATGCTAAGTGTCCAATCTTGCGAGCGATACCGTTGCAAATATGAACGAGCTTTACATAATTTCGTGTCATTAAACCGTCGAGCTTTGTACTCTGATTTTAAAAGCAAGACATAGTTTATGCTGTGAGTTTTAGATAACTGATTTGTTGTAATTTAAACAACTTTGTGCGCCGTTGTGAGGGTTTGAGAAAGGTAAAAATAACTCTCAAGTCATCTGTCAAAGACAACAAGAAGTCGACTTCATTCTATCTCCTTAGCTCACGACCCTAATTAATTTTCGTTTTCTGTTTCACATTTTACTTGAGTCTTCTCTTTCTAATCATGTGAGTTTTTCCTCCTTTTTTACATACATTTTATTTTGTGTACCAAATCAAAAATAAAGGTTATTTTTAAAAACAATAACTGCTCTGGTTTTCCTTTTGACTT